CCCCATACTGAATTTGGGGTGGGGGGCTGGGCTAGGTGAGGTGATCCCCTCAGTGACAGTCCCCTCCCTCAACAGGACTTTGAGAAGGTGGACCTGCTGCTCATCATGGGCACCTCGCTGCAGGTGCAGCCCTTTGCCTCCCTCATCAGCAGGTGAGACCCCCTCCCCACATCTCCTCCCGGACCCCCCCCCCAGACCCTGGGGAGCCCCCTGTAACTGTCCCCTCCCACAGGGTCCCCAGCAACACCCCCAGACTCCTCATCAACAAGGAGAAGGCGGGGCAGGTGAGGTGAGGGGGTGGCAGGTTGGGTGGCACTGGGGGGACGGGGGCATGGAGCAGCTGCCCGCCCCCCCCTTGTCGCCCCTTTTGTCCCCCCCAGAGTGACCCCCTGATGTCCCTGATGGGCTTTGGTGGGATGGACTTCGACTCAGACAAGGCCTACAGGTACGGGCTGGTTGGGGGGGGCTCTGTCCCCACCCCGTGGTTTTGGGAACCCCCACCGTGGCTTTGGAGACCTCCCCCCCCCCCAAAGTGGTTTTGGGACCCCTACCCAGGGTGGTGGTTTTTGGGGATCCCCTGAAGGTGGTTTGGAGGACTTCCATCGAGGTTTGGGACACCCTGAGGTGGTCTGGGGTCGTTGAAGGTGGTTTCGGGGACCCTCGAGGTGATTCCAGGGCCCCCCCAGGATTTTTGGGGTCCCCCCGAAGGTGACTTTGGGGGTCCCTGTGTCTGCGCAGGGATGTGGCCTGGCTGGGGGACTGCGACAGCGGGTGCCTGGCTCTGGCTGAACTGCTGGGCTGGAAGGTACTCCCCCCACCCACAAATTCTGGGGGTCTCCCTGCCCCCCCCAAAAACCCTTCTGGGACCCGGCTGAACCCCCAAATCTTCCCCTCAGGAGGAGCTGGAGGAGCTGGTGCGGAGGGAACACGCGGCCATCGATGCCAAGGCGGGGGACAAGGACGGGGGGGGCCCCCAAAAGCACCAGGGGGATGAGGACAAGGACGGGGGGAGCCCCAAAAAGAGCCCAGGGGACAAGGAAAAAGATCAAAGTGACCCCAAGAAGAGCGTGGGGGGCAAGGCCAAGGCTGAAAAGGACCCCAAAAAACCCCAGGGGGACAAGGACAAGACTCAAAACGACCCAGAAAAGTCACAGGGGGGCAGTGAGGACCCTCCCCATGGCACAGGGGGGACAACCCAAAATTAAATGGTCACAGAGGAGTTTTTGGCTTTGTGTGGTCACTGTGGGGATGGAGGGGCTGGGGCTCTTTGTTTCCTTAAAGAAGAAAGAAGAAAACAAAAATAAAAACACAGAAAAGGGGGAAAATAAGTTAGAAAAAGAATGGGGTAGGTTGAGGGCAAAAAAGGTTTTTTGCCTCCTCTGAAAAGGGGTGTTAGAGCTCCAAAATGTGTTGGAATTGACAGGGAGGGTGTGGGGGGGATGCGTGTGCAAAACACTGAAACCTGTATAGTTTCTCACTTTTATATCTACTGAGACATAACATTAATTTACATTAAAAAATGGTTTCAAAACAAAGCTCTGTATCTGCTGTGTGACACCTGCGATTTTGGGGCGGAAGGAGGAGCCGATATGAATCTGAGGGGTTGGAAAATGCAAATGTGACTTTTTTGGAACAGCAAATGGGACTCAATGCCCCCACCCGGGCAGGATGGGATGATGATGGAGCAGGGATAGATTCCAAAATACCAAAGTAAACCAGTTTGCAAATACCAGAACAACAACTTCCAAATTGTCAAAATGACCCAATTTGAGCATATCGATTTCCAAATCTGTTATAGGGGCCAGATTCCCAAACCCAAAAGAATCCATTATTGTCCCAATGAGATCTGTGCTACAAAAATGGATATTTTCTGTTGTGCAAAGCATTACCCCATTGACAATAAATACATAGATTTATTTTGTTTGTACAGCCAAACGTAGTCAAAGTTTTAGTTTAAAAGCAAACACTTGTAGAAGTTTTACTGCAGAGGTGGTGTCTGAGACAGCAGGCACGTGAGGAGAAAGGATGGAGTGAATCTGTTCCCTGTGTGGACAGGGAAAGACTGGGGAGCCAGCAAAGGGAGTATTTATAAACTGCACCAACATTTCACTGACACTCACCAGGGCAGGCACCTGATGCCAGTTTGCAGGAGGCACTT